TTTGAAGATTACGCCATGTACCTCCACAATATGCTGGACATGGACAATGTGGACAACAAACACCCTGTCCAATGCCTAATGTACCACTCCACAACCACAGTTCAGAAGACAGCGTGCCAGATATACAAGCAGGGAATTACAAACTTCAACAACCTGGTGGCTGCCATTTCAAAGATACATCCAACCCCCCATCTGGACCATTTGGAGACCTTTTGCCGGATGAAACCTGAAATGATGAGAGCTTCTACAGATTTGCTGAACAACTCAGAGACCAATATGAGACTTACCTTCAATTTCCTGCGGATCTCCTGGAGCCGGGCAAGCCTTTTTTGCAACAGACCTTTATGCAACAGCTGTTTTTCATCATGGATGGTGCTGGATTCAAAGACAATTTACAAAAAAAATTTCCACGCAATTGAAATATGACCTGGGAGGAAATGATTGATATTGCCAAGGCATATTGCCTGAACCATCAGAAATGGGCAGGTAAAGGACTGGATCAACAGCAACAATACGGGGGATGTTATCAGCAGTCATTGCTCCTGCCCAGACAATGGTGTGAATATCATAGGAGGTACATGCGCCATGGCTTGCACAAATGCAGTTTCCAACTGGGCATGCAAAACAATAGCCATCCTGACAACAGCATGCAGATACCAGCTCCTGCGCAAGCAAATTCTTTGACTTTGCGAAATACAGATGCCCCTAAGGCAGCATGCTTTCATTGTCATGAAACAGGTCACTTTCTCTGCAAGTGCCTCAAACTCCAGGGAAACAGGAATGCAGCACAGTGAATGCAGCACACTGTGCTTCTCTATGACTTTCTGCCACTCCTCCTCTGGTGACACTCCAGGTTAAGATAGAGGGTTCTGCACTTAGCATGTTATTGGATACAGGAGCTTCACATTCATTTATTGGGCAAGAACTGGCGGCCAAGTTATAACTGCTGCTAATACTGCTTGAAATTCCAGTACAAACATTGCTTGGGCCAAATGTAGCCACAGTCACTTCATGGGTTTGCACTCAATATTTTTTGGGGCGTGACATACAATGCAGAATTTCTTGTACTTCCACAAATGACAGAATTCCAAGTCATCATTGGGAGAGCCACGTGGGCGCTCCTCCCCATTGCAAAAATGCTCAAATGGTAGCAGAGTATTTACGGGATTTCAAAAAATTACCTTGACCCCTACGGAGCCAACAGTGGCAGTAGGAGATGGGATCAAATTTACAAATGGATCCAAACTGGAAGGGGGAACCATAACAGAGATCTTACGCAAATACTCGCTAGAGATACATCAATGGTCAGGAAAGCGCAGTCTTTTTTATTTTGTCCCGCAACTTCCTACAGCCACAGCAGTTCCTCCAGCTACACAGCAATACCAACAATCCTCTGACTGCAACACCCAGTTTGCCAAAATCATCAACAGATACCTGAAAACCGGGATTCTAGAAGCAGCAGCATCCACATACAATGCTCCAGCATTTTCAACTTGGAAATCGGATGATCCCACAGCCCCTGTTCACAAGTAATGGAGGTTAGTAGAAGACTATCAAGGGATAAAAAAGTTGCTAATTGATGACCACTATCACCCAATTCCAAGGATACTGGAGCTGCTAGATGCATTGGGGAGAAGGAACCAATTTTCTTGTACATTGGATTTACATTCCACATTCCATCAGATCCCCATTGTGCATGAGGACAGACCCAAAACCCTGTTTATGACCCCACAAGGTCAAGTCCAATATAAGGTCTTGCCTTTTGGTTTGAAGATGGGGCCAGCAATTTTTCAGCGTACAATGAATACGGTACTGCGCAAACATCTGATGACAAAGTGTCTAGCCTATATGGATGATATTATTGTGTTAGGTGAAAATTTCAAGATATTGTGTGAAAATTTGAGAGCGGTTCTCTCTACCCTGCAAAAAGCAGTTGTCGATATCAAAAAATCTACTTTTCTTGCAGAAACAATCACATTTTAGGTCACAGGGTGGACCAGACAGGGACAAGGCCCTCAGAGAAAAATGTCATTGCAGTGCAACATTTTCTGAGACCAGAAACAGCGTGGCAGATGCAAAGATTTCTTGGCATGGCAACATACCTTTGATTGCACCTGCCAACAAACTTTGCAAATGTGGAGAAGATCCTAAAGAGTATGATTCCCAAGAAACCAGCAATTAAGATCCAATGGTTGGTGGATGCTCAGGAAACATTCAACCACCTGAAGGACATTTTAGCAGACACGGCAAAACTAGAAAGAGTGGACCCAAAGCTACCTATCTCAGCACACTGCAACGCATCCTCCACATGCCTGGGGTCCATTTTGGTGCAAACAGACAAAAACAGGAAAGATAGAATTGTGGAGTATGCCAGCAGAGTTTTATTGGATACAGAGACCAGGTAAACAAATACTGAAAGAGAATTATTAGCAGTAGTATGGAGCGTAACAAAGAAATTCAGACATCATTTAGAATATCAGACGTTCACAGTAAATATGAACCATAAGGCTCTACTGGGTGAGCTCAAGACTGAAAGACTCATTGGGCTACACATGAAACTAGTGAGCTTTAATTACAAACTTATTTATAAGCCAGGGAAGCACCTCCAAGGCCTGGAATTGCTAAGCCAAATTACGCTGAACACGGCCTCAACAAGGATAATGCCACCAGAGGAACAGAGATAAGCAATCATAGAGGAATATCATAAGGAACTGGGCCATGCGGGGGGAAAAAGTATACCACAAGCTGCAGAAACAATTTGAGTGGGCACACATGCGTCAAGAGATCTGGCAGAAAATACAGGAATGCACACTGTGTTTCCAATACAATTTTCCAACAAGGAAAGTGGGCACACACCTGACAGCGATTGAATCTAAAAGGCCACAGGAACGTCTGGTGCTTGATTTTTTTGGGCCTCTCCCTTTGACAAATGAAGGATACAAGTACGCAATAATTGCACTGGATCATTTCAGCAAATACATGTTTGCCCAAGCAGTGCAGACAGCAGACGCAAAAATGGCTATACCATTCATTGTAGAAATCTTTCAACAGACAGGCAAATTTGAATACGTTCATACCAATTGTGATTCTGTTTTCAGAAGTCAGGCATTTCAACATTTCCTAAGGGGACTGGGAACAAAACAGCACATGGCACAAGCTACTCACCCCAAAGGCAATGGATGTTGCAAATGAGCAATTTGGTCCCTTGGCCAAATGCAATCAAAGGCAACCAATGGCAAAGCAGAAGACTGGGAGAAGTACTTGCAAAGTTCTGTCCAAGCCTATAACAAAACTGTGCACACAACAACTGGAAAATCACCAACAGAAGCCATGTTTGGCATATCACCCAAGCTGGAAGCTGATGAAGAATTCCAGGTTGAACCAATTGACAAGGAGCCAGGGCCAGATGCAGAGCAAACTGCAGGAACACAAAGAGCTCAGTTCATCAAGCAGGCAAACCAGGATTGATTACCACACTTTCATCCAGGCAACGTCATTGCAGTATTCCCTCAACTTCCAACCGTCCACAAACATGCAGCAGATAGACAATTTTGCAAACAGTGTCTTGGGCCTTTTATAGTCATTTTGTATTGCAGTATAATGGTGAATATTGGGTAGGGGCAGGCCCTGAGATCAAGAGAAATCAACCACGCCTGGGAAATGACGCACTATCAGGGGCTTTCAAGACCACCAGAACCAGGTTTCAAAAGGTTGATGCCCACAATAATTGGACAGCGGCCACAACCACAAGTTTTTTGAGATGACCACAGATATGCAAAACACCCACGCGAGTGTCCAATGCAGATTGTTGAAACAACGTTATAAGAACCAAAGGACACTCATGTCATTGACTTGGGTCCAATTTCTTTTGCAAAGTCCAAGACAAACGAGGGCCAACAACAACCGCAATAATTGCAACAATTAGCAGGCCTGGCCCCACCAGGAGAAACTGATAGAGATCAGCAATGGGCAGCAGATAGCAAACCGCAGGCATGCCACCTTCTCAAAAGAAGGGAAAGTAAGGCACCGCGCCAAACAGTGACATCTAGGAGATACTTCCAAAACCTTAGACAAAGTTGCAGACCACATGGAAGCGACATGCTTATCTGGGGATCTGGGGAGCAACTGGAGGAGAGTGCCAGAGAGTCTGGAGAGAGGCATTCAATGTTTGACTGTTGTCTTGTACAGACCTCTTAATATTGATTTTGCGTTGTGCTTGTGTGACATTGAGTTAAACTTCATGTGTTGAGAGCTTGGATTTCTGTATTTTATCCCCAAATCTCTTACTGCATGATGAAATGGGATTCAGACTACAGTTGGATAGTCCCTGATCATTGGGGATATCAGGACTTTGAATTAAAATAGAATCAGTATCAGTATTGGTCATAGTTACACAATATGCTGGTGCTGAAGGGATATTACCAAAGGGGAAACTTCTTTGCTGTAGTTGTGTGAGACCCTGAGATTTCCACTCAACAAGTTGTAGCTGTGCATGCAACACCACAGCTTGTTGAAATTGTCTTTCAATAGTAACAATTCATTTAAAAAAATACTTGAATATTATATATATTCTCTTGTGGATGAAATCTTGCCAGAGCTAATATAAGTCATGCTGCTCCCCCTTCCCCTAGTCCCACTTCCCATGCAGCTGCCCAAACACCCCTCACAATTTTACTCACATAATTTGTGATTTGGAAATTTTTATGTTCCTTGCTGCTTAAGACAGTGACAGAGGTGGTATTCGAAATTTGTTCTTATGCTATTTTTTGTGTCATTTGTAGCAAGAAACCTTACTGGATATTCAGACTTGAAAAAAGTTCTTGAACTTTTTATTCACATAATTTGCGCAATGTTATTTGGATATTCCAAAATTTTTTATTCATTTAAAAAAATTTTTTATATTCACACTGTTTTTTGTCCCTCAGAGTCTCCCAAAAATTTTACCCTTCCAAACCATTGCAGTTGAAGTCACTCAATGAGAGACTGCTACTAGGGGTGGCATGGAAGACGTAGCCCTGAATACAGCGGCGTTGAGTGGAAGTTGTATCATAGCGTCCCGTGATGGTGAGTAAATGCTTTCCTGTGATCATTTTTGTTCAGAAAAGTAAATTCCTTTTATATCAGACTGGCAGTTTTCAAACAAATTGCTGCGATTCTCTAGATTGGACAAATGTGGTTCGGTCAATGTAGGCTTGCTGGATCTTGGACAGCGTGTTGAGGCGCATGAAGGTGTTTCAGTTAGACACTGAGTCTACTGCAAAAGAACATACCAACCTGGATGTGGTGAGTCTGTTCTGACTTCTTCTTCAATTGGCTTCAAATTGCCTTTATTATTGTTATCTGAACACTTGGTTGCTGTAGGTAAAGTTAGGTTAGGTCAGGTTATGTCAGTAAAAATATTTCAGCCATATATTTTAAAATGTGTTAATTGAAAACATTTTAGGTAACACAACCTGACTTGAGTTTTCTGCAAAAACTGACTTTGGGGGCAGTTAGGTGAAGTTAGGTTAGCTCAGGTTATGTTAGTTGAAAATATTTCAACTATGGATTTTATATGTTCATTACAAATATTTTAATCAACATTAATACACATTTTAACTAACATAACCTGACCTAACCTAACTCTACCAAACCGCCCCCCAAATTCAGTCTCAGCAGAATTCCAATAAAACAATGCAAGTGATGTCAATTCATGTTGAAATTCACATAGAGTCAGTAATGAATTAGAATCAAGAATAAAATGGACTGATGGTAAGGCTGACAATAGCGTACCACAGGATCAACAGAACATGGTTGATGAATGAGTGGAGTTTGTCTGCCAAGAACATTCCATGTGCCATTCTTAGCAACATCTATTTAGACGTAGTTTTGCACTTGGGTCCCCCCAACTAGGATATAGCTCCAAAACATGTACAGCACAGCACATTATTGCAAGCCTAATGGTTGCTTATAGTTGACCATCGACATCATCAGGATGAGCCAAGCTTTCCTTCAACAGTAAGAGAACGACAGGAAATGCTGAAATTTCAAGGGCACCGACAAAACTCTGACTCTAAAAGGGCTGGTTACAATCACAACATTTGCAGATACATGCCATTTGCAAATCAACACTACAAGCCCATCATCATCGCTAAGTGATTATACTGGGAAAAGGCAAACACATAACAAGTACTGTATTGCAACAACCCTTTTGTGCCTCAGCCCAATGAAGCATTACTATACAGTCAACCCTCGGTTAACGTTTTTAGTTGGTTCCAAGCAAAAAAACGTTAACTGGAAAAAACGTTAACCAGGGGTGTATTTCCCTTAAGAAATAAGGGAAAAACGTTTATTTGGTTCCACAAAAAATTTTATTAAGGTATGTTGTCCTAATTCCGTAAGAATTTTATCTTAAGACACTCTTGATCTGGAGAAAACGTCTTTTCTACAGAGTCAATTAATCTAAAGAATGTAAACTCTCTAAGACAAACTTTCAACGAGAAGATTTAGTTCTTATGGCCGGGGTTCGTAAGTGAAAACACGACTTCTCAGTTTAGAGTGGATACGTATATTTCTGGTTTACCTCAGTCAACGCCAGACACACGAATGAATGTTAGTTCAATGCGCGCAAGTACCCTTTATAGATTCAACACGTTCCAGACGCGACTGCGCAAGCAGGATGCAACCAAAACAAAAGTAGGGCAGGTAAATGACCGCTGTCTAGACAACTGACCTCGTGCGCTTCGGAGCGACGAGTTGCTATGCAACACCGTTCCATGATCTGCGTTTTAATGCGCAGAGTATTATTGCTCTAGTACAGGACGTAAAGTCTTGGATCACAAACTCTCCCCAGACAAATTGAAAGAAAAGTTCCACCTTTTCAGAGCCAATCATAAGCGTTTCAAAAGTGCTCATGCAAAAATAGCCAGATTCCAAGTGAAAAAGTGAATATAATCGATGTCTTTTGAATGATGACACATCTGGGCATCGATTCCCATATGATATGTCATTGCATCGAAAAATTTTTGAAATCACTCTGGGGTCCAATTGGAACTCACACATTTTGTGTGGCACCCATATGAGGATCTCAGATGCAGGAGTTCACAGGGTTCATCTTGGAACAGGAATGTGGCAAAAAGTCACACTCTGGGAAGAAACAGGTATCAATACTTGTTTCTTTCCTTCCTGAGACATTCCAAAAGGATTCAGGCTTCATTTGAGGCTCATTTCTGGTGGAGACTACATCTCAAGTAAGTCTCAGTGAAAGTTTTGATCTGTGCCACTATAATCATTATTCTCCTTTTCTATTGGTGTTTTTGCAGGAAAACAATTTTGCATAGGTTCTCCAGTGTGTTAAGGCAATTTTCGAACCTTTTCGCCGATTTTCGCGTAGTGTGCGTTGAGCGCGTAATTTACGCATATTTTCGAAAAAGTCCGACGGCACTCGTCTTGTAAGATTGTGGGGCACTTCAAAACGTCATCAGAGCCAAGTGACTCATCATAGAAGACAAAACAACGGGTTTTCAAGTCAACAAGCTCAGAAATTCCTCAAAAACAAAAATGGGAATTCTTCAAGGAGTGACACCTACATTGCTTCTGGTAAGTTTTGCACCAAAAATAGTTGAAATATGGATTTTAAAACATTCAATATTTTTCTAGGTCCTCCTGGTGACTCTTCAGGATGGAGAGGCTAGTTCCTGTGCTGAAGTGGGAGGCAGGCTTGCCTGTGAGGACATCTGTGAAGTCAGAAGGCCAGCTCTTCACAAGTTTCAAGTGGATTTTTCTAGGTCCTCCTGGTGACTCTTCAGGATGGAGAGGCTAGTTCCTGTGCTGAAGTGGGAGGCAGGCTTGCCTGTGAGGACATCTGTGAAGTCAGAAGGCCAGCTCTTCACAAGTTTCAAGTAGACTTTGTTGGTGACTCCTTGGACTTGGACTGCGTCAGGTATAAGGGTTTGAAAGTGAGTTCTTCCTGAAAAATAAAGAGATAAGTATGTATCTGATCCTTTTTTCTTGTGATTTTCAGGAGGTTAGGTTGTTCAATAGGACTTTCTGTTCAGGGAAGACTCTTGGCATGGAGGAAGTTGTAAGACCCTGGAGTCATTGCTTCTTCAAACATGCAAGTAAGTTGTGAAAATGCCACTATAGAGCCTAGTAATTCAACTGTTCAATAGGACTTTCTGTTCAGGGAAGACTCTTGGCATGGAGGAAGTTGTAAGACCCTGGAGTCATTGCTTCTTCAAACATGCAAGTAAGTTGTAAAAATGCCACTATAGAGCCTAGTAATTCAACTTTTCAATTTTTCAGAAAAACAGAAAACAGTCAAGGAGGAGTCAAGGCCCATCAAGAAAACTTCATCATACAAGCCTTCATCAACCACTCCTGTGACTTCATCTGGGATGCCAACCAAGCAGGAGATCAGCATTACAAGTCAACCTACAACAACACCTTGGGAGAAAGAGACTACTACCATCCAGGAGCAAGACATCAGTGCTTTTAATAAAAATGATGTGACTGTTGATCCTGAGACCCAATTAGAGGAAACATTGGGAATAGTTCCTGTAGAGGAGGTGGTGTTAGTAGAGGAGGCCCTTCCCAGAACAACTATGGGGACTTTAGCAGACATTGCTGAGAAATCTAAAAATCTATCTATCTCTCAATTAAACATTTCTGCTGGTTTCCCTGATGGTTCAATTATCCATGCAGAGTTTCCACAATGGTTACTGGAAGCTTTAGTTTGGATGATTGGAGTGTTGGGAGTTGGGTCTCCTTTTGCAGTACTAACAATCTGCTGTTGCAGAAGGATAAAAATGAAGGTGTGTAGTTTCTTGTGGTGGAAAGTTAGCCATGTTTCTAATGGGTTTTTCGGGCCTCTTGCTATTGCTGTGCTTTTTCTGTGCTGGGTTAAATTGTTAGAGGAAATCAGAGGCGGAAAATCAAACGGAAGAGGCGCCTCAATCAGTTCTGAATCCTCTGTTTGAGGAATTGGAGATGACTGAGGCTCCTTCTCTTGTTGCTTCTTGTGTGCTGGGTTAAATTGTTAGAGGAAATCAGAGGCGGAAAATCAAACGGAAGAGGCGCCTCAATCAGTTCTGAATCCTCTGTTTGAGGAATTGGAGTTGACTGAGGCTCCTTCTCTTGCCACAGTTAGGCCTTTGATGTCCTCTTTCAGTGAGTGTTTTGTCACCGCTTGCTTGTTTCTGCTTTGGCTTGAACTTCTTTTGTCGTCAGGTCCGATCCGAAGCCCTGTCCGGGGAAGAGTTGCTCGCCAGGTGGACTTGGCCTCTCCTTCGTGCTTGGGTGTTGGCGAAGATTCGTTCTAGTCACCCCACCTTCCGCCGCACTCAGCCTGGTTCTGGCCAGGTTGTTCGTAGCGGGAGCCTCTCCAGTTTTTATACTGTGGGAGAAGTTTAGTCATTTTTCGCGCGTATAGTTATTCGACGCGATTAGAGAGTTGATGTTGTTAGGAGGACATGAATAAAAATATGTTGATCCTCCATACCATGACCTTTTTTTTTTTTCTTTTTGTTTTCTTCTTTCCACAGCAATTCTTTTCGTCCAGGTTTCAGGATTCTCTTCATAGGAATAAGATGATAAACATGTAAAAACAGTCATACACAGAGGCATGAGAGCACCACTTAGCATAACCTAAAAGCACACAGCACACCATACAATTCTAATTCCACATCCACATATCCAATAGAGCCTGCAAAAACCTTCAAAAGGGTGGTTCTTGCAATATTATTTGATTGCCATCAAACCTGTTGAAGCGCTGATTTGCAATCTTGGGTATTGAGGAGCTAAAGGGGCACTCCTGGAGGGTATCAATTCAATATTTGCACTCTCTATAATGTTGGCATTTCTCCTGCGTCTACGAATGATAACATACCGGATTTTTGCAAAACATAGGTACATGATACTAATGAGTATAATAGACAACAGTATTACTGACACTATCAGATAAATGTACCCGTGATCTCTAAAATGAATTTGGAGTTCACTAATGTCTTCGGCTACCGAACTACGTGGTTTAAAAGCTGGAACTTCTTCTACAGCGTTTATTTCCACGTTTTCTAGTTTAGGTAGATTCTCTATAATGTTGGCATTTCTCCTGCGTCTACGAATGATAACATACCGTATTTTTGCAAAACATAGATACATGATGCTAATGAGTATAATAGACAACAGTATTACTGACACTATCAGATAAATGTACCCGTGATCTCTAAAATGAATTTGGAGTTCACTAATGTCTTCGGCTACCGAACTACGTGGCTTAAAAGCTGGAACTTCTTCTACAGCGTTTATTTCCACGTTTTCTAGTTTAGGTAGAATTTCCTTGAATGGTCCGTTAACAAGAGTATATCTACAGTTCTGATTAAACTTTAATATACCAGAATACGGTAATTCGTATGAATTCTCAGACGCAGGGACTGTTCCATTTTCGCTTTCAGCACTGATCTCTAAAATGAATTTGGAGTTCGCTAATATCTTCGGCCACTGAACTCCGTGGTTTAAAAGCTGGAACTTCTTCTACAGCGTTTATTTCCACGTTTTCTAGTTTAGGTAGAATTTCCTTGAATGGTCCGTTAACAAGAGTATATCTACAGTTCTGATTAAATTTTAGGATACCGGAATACGGTAATTCGTATGAATTCTCAGACGCAGGGACTGTTCCATTTTCGCTTTCAGCACAATATTGAGTTACCCTTCCCTTGTCCGTATCTATATACGCAAATTCGTCCCTGTCCAACTGGACTACCATGTTTTCAGGACTGACTATTGGTCTCATAGGACAAGCTTCTCGAATTGCCTCCTCATTTTCTCCGATTTGGATCTTTCTAACACATTC